CTTGCAATTTGCAGTACGATTTCCATTATGCTCTATGTATGTGAAATCGCAACAAAACTGCAGAAAAAGTAATAGAGGAACTGCCTCAGAAATTTCAGCAAATCACAAATGTTAAGACACTGACATTCACATTCATTAGATGCGATTTCAGGTGCAATTTCAATTCCCAAATCACACCTGAAGTAGCACCGGTATGACCGGGCACATAAAGGAGAAGTACAGCCAAAGCTCTTTTGGCTGTACTTCTCCTGCGGATCACAGAAGTGCAGTTCGTTCTGCACTCCTGTGACCAGGGGCGGACTGACAACTCATGGGGCCCCTAGGCAATAAGGGATCATGGGCCCCCTGTGTCCTTGCCCAAACTCAAAAAAGCCTATGAAAAAGGTACCAGGGGCATCTCATGGGGCCCCCTACTGACCCGGGCCCTCGGGCAGTGCCCGAGTTTCCAAATGGTCAGTCCACCCCTGCCTGTGACCCGTTTTCAGCTACCAGGGGGCTGAAGTCCGCTTTCGGCTGAAGTCACTCAGCCGGTCCACGCTGGGGAAAGATCGTGACTTTAAAGTCGGAATCCAAAACCAGAGTCTGGAGTGGCACCTGGCTCAGCCTCTCAGCAAAGCCCTGAGAGCCTGAGCTAGCCGTTCCCTCCCCCTGCACAGCCCAGCACTCCAGTGACTGCTGGGGGGGGCAGAGCAGTGAACGGTGACTGACAGTCACTGCTCTCTGCTCAGAGCAGCTGTGAGAACCCAGCGATCAGCGGTTATGGGATCGCTGAGTTTTCACACGTAGAGCTGGCAGGTGACAGATGCAGCATCGGACTGATGCTGCATCCATCTAGGTAAGAATAAATGGGGGAAAAAAGCCCTACTTCTCTTTTAAGGTAAAAACCTTCTGTGATCTGCTCTCCCCCAGTCCCCCACCCCCCCCATACTTACCTGAGCCCGATCTCAATTCACCAATGAGCACAAAAGCAGTGGCTGTCTCTGCTCTCTCTTTCCTCATTGGCTGAGAGACAGCAACGGGAGCCATTTGCTCTTGTTGCTGTCAATCACAGCCAGTGAGGACAGGCAGGGAACTGTAAGGCCTCTTTCAGGCCAGGGGGAAGTAAAAACAAGCGATTGAGCATTTGCAAATGAGCATTTAGCAGCCCCTTGACTCCTGCCTAAAAACTTAAAAAAATTTACCGTAACTCGTCATGTTCTGTCAAAGTAACCTATTCTAGTCAATGGGGCTTAGCTCTCAGTTGCAACATGTTAACGCCATTAAAAAACACCCAAAAAAACACCAAAAAAAACAGGCGTTCGCAGAGCGTCGGGATAGTCTCTTAAACTCCTAACATCGACTGGTTAGTCACATGCCCTCTGCAAAGCAATCCACTGCAGATCATTCTTCAGAAGCTGCCCAAAAGTGAACTTAGTATAAGTTATGTGATTTAGAAACCACATCCCCTAAGTGTAAACCCACCTATGGGTATGACTTCAGGAGCAAAGGGTGTGCCTAGAATTCTTGGCATCTATGGCGGATATACACTCCACAAACAGATGGCAGTGAATAAATAATCCAAACAGCACCTACAAGAAAATCCTTTTTTTTTTGGAGGGTTTGGCCTTTAAATATAAAAGTGAAGGAATGAAGGATTTGCTCAGCAGGGAAGCCCACTGGCTCAAACATCTAGATCGTTTTCTGCTCCTGTAACCCGGTAAGAGGCAATGCCTTCAATACAAGTTGTAACATGTTGTGGATTTGTACGTGCCTTACGTGTGGCCTGCTGCTGGAAGCCTCAAGAAAGGCAGAAGAGCACGACACAGATAAATCAAATAGAGCTATCTGCCTATGTACCAATATGATTTATTACATTACGATTTCTGAATAAAACGATATTAGAACATTTGCGATATGCATTGAACACACTTTGCCTAATTGAAGGAAAGAAACAAATGATATAAGAGCTGGAATGTAATTGCTTACTGCAGACAAAGACCTTAATCATTAAACCCCAACTTCAGGCAAATAAAATATTATTTCCTGCAATGGGGCTGTACCCACACTGCAAAGATTAATTGTTCCTTTTTACTCGATTTACTTACCCGATCATCCGATACTTCCCACAGTTAGCTAGACCAGTCCCCGCATCTGCACCTCCCACGATCCACCAGCCAAGGGTCCTGATGTCATCAATACCAGATCAGGGTCCATAGCCCTACTCTGAACATGAGGACACCGAGGGACAGTGCACGGCCACCAGTCAAACTTGCCCATCTAAAGTCAATAGGACCGCAACACAAATTGCAAATTAACCCATAGGTCCGTGGCAGTATTTCTATGTAAAGTTCCCAGTCAAGTAGAAAAAACAACTGGCATTCAGCAGTATCGCCTCCTCATTGCCTGAAAATTGCCTTTAAAAAGCAATCCACCTCAGATCAGTTTATAGAGAGGGTGGGTAGAACCTGTCACCTTTCTGAAAGAGGCCTAAGAAAGCAAACCAAGACACAACTGAAAGGAGAGATCATTTCATGTTTCATGAACTATAGTGAGTCTTACAACTACACTCAACATCTGCTGCACCTCCATCCCCCTACAGTTCTTATAATTTATAAGAATTTGTTTTGCCCACCCCCCTCACTCTGCAGCCCATGGTATTGGCCCACAAGTGTGATATAATATATATATAATATATACAATATAAATACAGTCCTGATCTAGGTTTTGGCTATTTCGGGAGATAAATGCCTGTGTACTCATCCACAAAGAGATATCCATACAAATCCAAAACAGGTATAGAGGCACTTACATATCTTGCAGCAGAGATAAATTAAAGCAATAGCAATTTGTCAAAATATTGACAGTCAGACTTTCTCAAAATGTCTTAAGTCTTGAGAAATTGAGAAAGACAGCTGTGCTCTATTGAAATATTGACATCTTGACAATGAAATACCATTGCATTGCTTTATCTCTGTTGTAAGATGTGTAAGTGCCTCTTTACCTGTTTTAGAGATATGTACTGTGCTAAAATCTTAGGCAGGTGTGAAAGAATGCTGTAAATTAAGAATGTTTTCAGGAATAGAAGTGATCATAGTTTAATTTTATCAATTAACAAAATGGAAAGTAAATGAACAGAAGAGAAATCCAAATCAAGTCAATACTTGGCGTGACCACCCTTTGCCTTTAAACCAGCATCAATTCTTCTAAGTACAATTGCAGACAGTTTTTAAAAGGAACTTAGCAGGTAGGTTGTTCCAAACATCTTGGAGAATTAACCACAGATCTTCTGTGGATGTAGGCAGCCTCAAATCCTTCTGTCTTTTCATGGAATCCCAGACGGACTCGGTAATGTTGAGATCAGGGCCCTGCGAGAGCCAAACCATCACTTCCTGGACTCCTTGGTCTTCTTTCCACTAAAGATAGTTTCAATGACATTGGCTGTATGTTTGGGGTCGTTGTCCTGCTGCAGAATACATTTGGGGCCAATCACATGCCTCCCTGATGGTATGTCATGATGGATAAGTATCTGCCTTTATTTCTCAGCATTGAGGACACCATTGATCCTGACCAAATCTCCAACTCCCTTTGCAGAAATGCAGTGCCAAGCTCGCAAGGAACCTCCACCATGCTTCACTATTGCCTGCAGAAACTCATTATTGTACCGCTCTCCAGCCCTTTGTGAACAAACTGCCTCCTGCTACAGCCAAATATTTAAAATTTTGACTCATCAGTCCAAAGCTCCTGCTGCCATTTTTCTGCACCTCAGTTCCTAAGTTTTTGTGCATAGATGAATCGCTTAGTCTAGATTCCACGTCAGAGGTATGAAGACCACTTGTGGCCAGACTCTTCCAGACAGTAGGTGGGTACACCTGGTTCCCACTGGTTTTTATCAGTTCTGTGCTTATGGCACTGATGGACATCTTCCAATGTCGAAAGGAAGTAAGCATGATGTGTCTTTCATGTGCTACATTAAGTTTCCTTGGCCCACCACTGTGTCTACAGTCCTTAACTTTGTGCTTCTTCAAAAGAGCTTGAGCAGCACATCTTGAAACCCCAGTCTGCTTTGAAATCTTTGCTCGGGATATACCTTACTAATGCTGTATAACTACCTTGTATCTTGTTGCTGTGCTCAGTCTTTCCATGGTGTATGACCTGTTACATTAAACTGTCTTCCACAACCTCACCTTAGTAGCAGAGTTTGGCTATCCCTCACCCAGTTTTAGGCCTCTTACACAGCTATTTCTGTTTCATTTAATGACTGTGTTTCAACCTACATATGAAATTGATGATCATTAGCACCTTCTGCAAGTATAAGACTTGAATGCTGGTTTTTATTGTAATTGGTCCTGAAAACTTAGAAAAAATGGTAATCTAAGCTTAATGCATTCTTTCACTAAGCAACTTAATATGCAAATCTCCTCACTGAAACCACTGCCAGTATAAGCAGTTCCAAGTATGTAATAATGACTTCTTAAATCACTATTTACTTCTGAATATGCAAATCCACATTAAGAAACTGTGAGAAAGGGATAATAGTCTTATTTCTTCTCTTTTACAACCAATATTTCAACGCACCAGGATTTTTTTTTGTGTTGCTCATTGCTGATATACGCAGTATGGGCCTATTATAACCAGTGATGTGCGAACCCGTGGGCACGCGTGCCACATGCCGGGCACGCCGAGCCTTATCTGTGGGCACAACACCAGGAGAATCACAGCGGCGCGCTGTCTTCCGGCTGCTAGTGTGCGTGACAGCCGGGTCCCAAGTGCGCATGCACAAGAAAGCAGTGCTCTTTGTGAATGGTATAAGAGCGGGTACCTGGGACACATGACAGATCCCAGAAGCCGACCGGTCCAATCACAAAGCGCAGCGCTTCTCGCGGCATGCGCCACTGGGCATCCGGCTGTCCGAACGAAGCGCCCACACTACAGAAGCCGGGAAGACAGCGCGCGGCTGGATAAAGGAACAGGTAAGATAAAAAAAAAAAACTGCGGAAGTAAAGAGCGGCTACCTGTCAAATTCATCTCCTGTACTCCTCCGCAAAGGTAAGGCAGTGCTGGTCACTGTCCTGCCTCTGGTCATTCCCTGTGCTGTCCGCAGTTCTCTGGTCATCCCTGTGCTGTGTCCGCAGTCTCCTCTGGGTCATCTCCTGTACTGTCCGCAGTCTCTCTGGTCATCGCTCCTGTGCTGTCCGCAGTCCTCTGGTCATCTCCTGTACTGTTCCGCAGTCTCTGGTCATCTCCTGTACTGTGTCCCTCAGTCTCTGGTCATCTCCTGTACTGTGTCCCGCAGTCTCTGGTCATCTCCTGTACTGTCCGCAGTCTCTGGTCATCTCCTGGTATCTGTCCCGCAGTCTCTGGTCCATCCCTGTACTGTGTCCGCAGTCTCTGGTCATCCCTGTACTGTGTCCGCAGTCTCTGGTCATCCGTGTACTGTGTCCGCAGTCTCTGGTCATCTCCTGTACTGTGTCCGCTGCATCCTCTGGTCATCCCTTGTACTGTCCGCAGTCCATCTGGTCATCTCCTGTACTGTGTCCGTTTCCAGTCTCTGGTTCAATCGTCCCTGTACTGTGTCCGCAGTCTCTGGTCATCCCTGTACTGTTGTCTGCTCAGTCTTGGTCATCCCTGTCTGTCATCCCTGTACTGTGTCTGCAGTCTCTGGTCATCCCTGTACTGTGTCTGCAGTCTCTGGTCATCCCTGTACTGTGTCTGCAGTCTCTGGTCATCCCTGTACTGTGTCTGCAAGTGCCTTGGTCATCCCTGTGTAACTGTGTCCGCAGTCTTGGTGTCCCTGTACTGTCCGCAGTCGCCTATGGTCATCCCTGTACTGTCCGCAGTCTCTGGTCATTCCCTGTACTGTCGCGCAGTCTCTGGTCATCTCCTGTACTGTTCGCAGTCTCTGGTCATCTCCTGTACTGTGTCCGCAGTCTTCTGGTCATCTCCTGTACTGTGTCCGCAGTCTCTGGTCATCTCCTGTACTGTGTCCGCAGTCTCTGGTCATCTCCTGTACTGTCCGCAGTCTCTGGTCATCCCTGTACTGTCCGCAGTCTCTGGTTATCCCTGTACTGTGTCCGCAGTCTCTGGTCATCTCCTGTACTGTGTCCGCAGTCTCTGGTCATCCCTGTACTGTGTCCGCAGTCTCAGGTCATCCCTGTACTGTCCGCAGTCTCTGGTCATCCCTGTACTGTGTCTGCAGTCTCTGGTCATCCCTGTACTGTGTCCGCAGTCTCTGGTCATCCCTGTACTGTCCGCAGTCTCTGGTCATCCCTGTACTGTCCGCAGTCTCTGGTCATCTCCTGTACTGTGTCCGCAGTCTTTTCTGGTCATCCCTGTACTGTGTCCGCAGTCTCTGGTCATCCCTGTACTGTGTCCGCAGTCTCTGGGTCATCCCTGTACTGGTGTCCGCAGTCTCTGGTCATCCCTGTACTGTGTCCGCAGTCTCTGGTCATCCCTGTACTGTGTCCGCAGTCTCTGGTCATCCCTGTACTGTCCGCAGTCTCTGGTCATAACCCTGTACTGTCCGCAGTCTCTGGTCATCCCTGTACTGTGTCCGCAGTCTCTGGTCATCCCTGTACTGTGTCCGCAGTCTCTGGTCATCCCTGTACTGTGTCCGCAGTCTCTGGTCATCCCTGTACTGTTAATTAGTTTGCACTACTGTACGAGTGTTTTTTCTAAACCAAAAGCTCGATATTCAGGTTTCATTGCAGTGTTGGCACTTTGAAGAAATAAGTTGGTTTTGGGTTGCAGTTTGGGCACTCGGGCTCAAAAAGGTTCACCATCACTGGCCTATACTGTAATACGTCAGTATCCTGTAGACCAGTGTTTCTCAACATTTGTTCAGTTAGGGGAACCCTTTGGAGTTGCGCACAATTTCGTGGCACAGCAGTCTGAGGGCATGTTCACACCAGGAGATGCATCTGAATGTGTACACTTTTTAGCTCGTTCATACACATTGCATTTTCAACGGGCTGCTCTATGTGCGTGAAACATGCGGAAAAAAAGGTGCTGGCACTAATTTTAAAATTGTGTTGCACATCTGCAAAAGGAAGCGCTTTTTTGTACAGTGTGGGGCAAACGCACAAGTTAGCATGTTCCTGCACACCTGGTGTGAACAAGCCCTAAAATGTAGTTTGTGAGGCAGAGTTCAGTGATCAGTAGGTTGTGATGCAGCGTTGCCTTATACTGTACCTGTAGAAATTAGTGATCAGTATGTAGTGGCAGGACAGGGCAGTATGCAGTGCTAGGGCGGTCAGTGAGCAGTAAGTAGTGGCAGCCAATGAGCAGTATGTCACAGTGAGCAGTATGTAGTGGCAGTCAGTGAGCAGTATATAGTGGCAGTCAGTGCACAGTATGTAACAGTGAGCAATATGTAGTGGCAGTCAGTGAGCAGTATGTAACAGTCACCAGTATGTATTGGCAGCCAGACTTGAACAGTTTGTAGAGGCATCAGTGAGCATTATGTAGTGGCACTTAGTGAGCAGTACGTAACAGTGAGCAATATGTAGTGTCAATCAGTAAGCAGTGTGTAGTGGCAATCAGTGAGCAGTATGTAACAGTGAGCAGTATGTAGTGGAAATCAGTGAGCAGTAGGTAACAGTGAGCAGTATGTACTGACAGTCAGTGAGCAGTATGTAACAGTGAGCAGTATGTAGTGGCAGTCAATGAGCAGTATGTAACAGTGAGCAGTATGTATTGGTAGTCAGTGAGTGGACGCATGGAATTCCTGCTGGAGAAGCCTCTCTCCATCAGCCCACTGTCCACTGGAGACAAAAGACCTGCAGGGCTGCTTTCTCTGCTCCTCTTCCATCTTCAGCTGCTGGATCAGCCATAGCAGCCACATTTGCAAGGAAGAAATGAGATGGCCACATTCCTTGGTCCTGCAGATCAGCTCTGGCTTACCAGGGAGAAGAAAGAGCCAAAAACAGCTTTCACCCCCTGCTGACCTGTACCTCCCTATCATCTGTGGAGACAAATGAGAGAAAACCAAGGATGCTGCAATGGCTCCTTAGCAATCAATGACGTTATCGGTTGGCAGGAAGTGGTGGGCAACCAAGCACAGGGTCAGGGGTTGTGTTTTCAACCTGTGGCTCTGTGTAAAACAAGTAGCTTGATCCAAGTTTGCCTTTTTTTACACAGAGCCACACTTTTACACTTTTTTGGGGGGCTCCCCAGGGGGGCCGTGGCAAAATGCTAAAAAGGCCCAAAAAATATAGCGTAGACAGATGGGTTAAAGAAGACTTTAGATTGTTTGCTATTAATGTTTAACTCTGCACTTTTTTTTTTGGCTGCATTAAAAATGTTTGATCATATAAAAACATGTGACACAAAGCAACGCTACTGCATCTTTTTTTTTTTAAAAAAAAGAGCAGATTGGCTGAAAATTACAAAACCTTTTCCTTGATTGATGCACACTGCTTTTAGATTTCATGACCTCAGCTCTCAGAATTGTGATATTGTACATAATCTGGTTTCCTGTGGAAGCAAATGATGCTAATTATGCCGTTCTCTGTGTAAAGCCACATAATACAAACATAAACATATATTCTTTGTGAAACCATTAGAAAGAGAACTGTAAAATGCATTAGGTTGGGCTCTCTCTGTATGTTGGTCCTTCTTCTTCCAAACAACAGGTTATTGCCGTTCCATTTCTGCTTTCTGGTTCCTATGTGTAACTGTGGTATTTTTTGGTTATGCCACAATACCAGATTTCACCAACAGAGGGCGGTGATATTCAAACAACTATATATAGGCTTCTCCTACACTGTAGAGTCCCAAAAATAATTATATACACACACTCTCACAATGAATACTATCATTAGATGCATTAATCACATAAAGTTTTCAGTATACAATATTTTCTGTGATAATGTTAGAAACTACTCTTGGTTGTCATTAATTATAATGAACATAGTTAGTCATCTCATCCGTAATCAGATATAGGAGGTTTCAATCATACAAATGAAGCCTCAAAGCAAGGCATAGTACTCTGCTATGTGTTTAGTGCTCTGGAATCCATTATTATGTATTAAATGTCTTTGTAAAACAAATACTGTATATTTATATAGAGTACAGTATAACCATACAGTTTATGTTGATAAGGAACTGAAGCAATCCAGAAGCCCTCACTCAAATCAGTGTAGAAGGTATTTTACATTACTCATCCATCACATATCCCAAAACAAATAAGATAATTTAGCTTTTCAGGGCAGTGCAAATAATGTCTTTACAATTACTATAGTGTATAGTGCAAGTATAATCTAATAATATAGATGGGGGGCGGCTACCCATCGATCTCTTTCTCCTCTCCTGCTTGCTGCTGTGGTAGATCTTTTCAGGATGGAGTGTGGGGGAAAGGGCTTATAAATATGTAATTTACTGGCCCTTTCCTTTTCTGAATGAACACAGTGAATGATCACTGCAAATCACTCACTGTGTTCATTCATAACTGAAGCGTAGTAAACTGTGTTTACTGTGCTTTAGTCTGTGAATGAACAGGAAGACTGTGCAGAGCTCTTCCTGTTCATTCATTCTGTGCAGCTTCGACGGCACAGAGCTGGAGGTTGAGAACTGTGTCCTCAATTTTCTTTCTCAGTCTCAGAAGTGGGACAGCAGGAGTCTGTTTTTGACCCCTAATATTTCATCAGAGCTCCCAACAGGGCTGTTAAAAAAAAAAAAAAAATAAAATAATAAAAAAATCAAAAACTGCTGACCCTATGCTCTGCCCTAATGATAAAGTCCACTGCCCTACTAATACCTTTCACTGCTCTACTGACACTGTCCACTGCTCTACTGACTGACACCATCCTCTGCCCCACTGACATTGTCCATTGCCCCACTGACACAATCCACTGCCCTACTGACACCATCCTCTGCCCCACTAGCACAATCCACTGCCCCACTGACACTGTCCACTGCCATACTGACTGGGACTGTCCACTTTTAAGTTTATATTTTTTAGTGACATTTGTTTCATCATATTTTACTTACTATTTAGTTAGTCCTTGCTAGTTAATTTCTAGAGATGAGCGAATTATTCAAAAATTCGATTCGGCTGATTCGCCGAATTCGCGGAATAAATTTGATTCGAGGCGAATATATTCGCTGCGAATTTAACTTATAAAAAGGGTGTTTCTAGGCTTCAGAGAGCCTTTATATTAGTGCAGAACACTGTACCTTTAATTTAAATGCCCTTGGAGTCTGCTGGGAAGAGAACTAATACTGTCAGTCAGTATGACATGCAGATGAGTGCCGTCGATCTTAGAATCACCGCACACTTCACTCATTTGGGCAGTCACGGGGCCAAAACCAGAGTGTGGAGCCACAGTGTGGCGGTGGAGGCAGCAGCAATGGGAGGCCATACAGCACCCTATGAAAAAATGGAACCCACCAGCAGTGTGAGGAGACCTGAAAGTGGCACATGGCAGAGTGTGGCAATGGAGACAGCAGCAATGGGAGGCCGTACAGGGACCCATGACACACTCTGGACCTGGCAGCAGCATGAGGAGGCGGTACAGGGGCCCATGACAGATTACGGCCTGGCAGCAGCAGTGGGCGGGCGGTGGATGCAGCAGTATTCGGAAGCCAAACACAGGCCTCGGTTAAAAAGCGGAAGCCGTCAGCAGCGTGAGCAGACGACAGAGGCACATGGCGCAGGGTGGCGGTGGAGGCAGCAGTATTCGGAAGCCATACACAGGCCTAGGTTAAAAAGCGGAAGCCGTCAGCAGCGTGAGCAGACGACAGAGGCACATGGCGCAGGGTGGCGGTGGAGGCAACAGCAATGGAAGGCCATACAGCACCCTATCACAAAATGGAACCCACCAACAGTGTAAGGAGACCTGAAAGTGGCACATGGCGCAGGGTGGCGGTGAGGCAGCAGTATTCGGAAGACATACACAGGACTAGGTTAAAAAGCGGAAGCCGTCAGCAGCGTGAGCAGACGACAGAGGCACATGGCGCAGGGGTGCGGTGGATGCAGCAGTATTCGGAAGCCAAACACAGGCCTCGGTTAAAAAGCGGAAGCCGTCAGCAGCGTGAGCAGACGACAGGCACATGGCGCAGGGTGGCGGTGGAGGCAGCAGCAATGGGAGGCCATACAGCACCCTATGACAAAATGGAACCCACCAGCAGTGTGAGGAGACCTGAAAGTGGCACATGGCAGAGTGTGGGCGATGGAGACAGCAGCAATGGGAGGCCGTACAGGGACCCATGACACACTCTGGACCTGGCAGCAGCATGAGGAGGCGGTACAGGGCCCATGACAGATTACGGGCCTGGCAGCAGCATGAGGAGTCGGTACGGGGCCCATGGCAGATTACGGGCCTGGCAGCAGCACATGAGGAGGCGGTACAGGGGCCCATGGCAGAGTGGCGGAGCGTAAGCAGCTAAAATTGAAGGCCATACAGAGGCCTATGTTAAAAAGTCCCCCCAGCAGCAGCGTGGGGAGACGACTAATAGTCGTCTCCCCACGCTGCTGCTGGGGGACTTTTTAACATAGGCCTCTGTATGGCCTTCAATTTAAGCTGCTTACGCTTCGCCACTCTGCCATGGGCCCCTGTACCGCCTCCTCTTGCTGCTGCCAGGTCCAGAGTGTGTCATGCGTCCCTGTACGGCCTCCCATTGCTGCTGACTTCATCGCCA